TTTCTACGGAGTATTTATTTTATTTAAATGTTGGTGTAAAATCAGAATTTTAAAGTATATATGTTTAAAACCCATGTCAGTTTTTCTACTATACAAGAGATTAGATGTCTATGTTATTTTAACAAAAGATCAATAGGAATATGTCAGGAAAGAAGATATAGTTTGACCCTGTGAACATTGAAAGTCCAAAGATAGTGGAATGGAGTATGTTTATTGTGAGATTCAGGTGAGAGTTGGGTCTGTTGTTTTGTCTTATTTCGTCTATTTTGACAGATGAAAGAGAGAAAACCTCTTGCTACATTGAAAAAAGCACTAATTAACGCTCCAGCCACTCGAGATTTTGTTGGTGCTTTAAAGTCTTCATATTCTAGAACTGGATTGCCTAGTTTGATTGCTGAAGTGAAGAAGGCTTCTCCAAGCAGAGGGGTATTAAGAGAAGATTTTGATCCTGTAAGTTCTCGGTGTCTTATTTTCTTTTTAGCTAAATTCAATTCTATATTAGAAATAGATGACACATGTTAGATGCATAAATCGTCATCCTTGCATTACAATGTGATTGGTAGCTATGTGGAGACTAATTCATGAATATGGAATATTAAGAATTAAGAACAAATGGAAAGATTACTGAAAGGAACATGAAGTAAAACTTTATCAACAGGGAAAACTGTTTTTGGGAACTCATCATATATGTTGAGGAAAATGCACTCCCTTTGCACCAATTTTTTCTTCACTCTTTCCATTAAATTCGTCCCAAAAAAAATTCTCCTTCCCTTTTAAGCAAATTTTTGTGGGTGATGTTGTTTCTTATACTTTGGATAAATCTCAACCATCGTTTTAACTTTCTTAAAAAACAAGCAAAAAAAAGGGCGGAAAGAGTAGTATCTTTTGCTACCACAACATATAGGGGAAGAAAATGATACCAAATTGTTATGGAATGGGACAGTGGGGACACTTTATTTACCTATTGAGTATAGTTAACACTCCTGCTCCAACTCATGCTCAATTTTACAATTCCAGCTTTTATCTATTTTCTCATTTGTTTGAAAGGAAACTTTTACTCCGGTAATTAGCTTAATGTGATCGAATTACTAGATATTCTTTTTAAAGTGGGTTGTTAAGTTCTTCAAATGTCAAAATCTTGTTTCTTTGGTTTTGTTCTGCATTGTTTTCTTAAAAACTAATACTCAGTTACTCATAAAGACAAATTTGAAGGAATTATATTTTCTGGTGCATTATTTGGATATTGGATGAGTCACAATAATATGTGTATAGGTAAAGTATGAACATTTAATTGCACAACAGTTAATTCATTTATTCTATATCTGCAATAGTATTGGGCAGTTAGTGCACACTTGAGCATTGCCTCTGACAGATCGTCTTACCTAGCTGCCACCTTGAGAATATAATCTAGGCATCCCGATAGCTGTTTTATGATGTTTTCCATGGCAGGTTGAAATTGCCAAAGCTTATGAAAAAGGTGGAGCAGCATGCCTTAGTGTGCTTACCGATGAAAAGTTTTTTAAGGTAAAGATTGCTATATTCTTGAGTTTTTGAGGAAACAACTCAAATATTAGTAATGCACTCATTTCTTTTTTTCATTTGGAAAATTAGGGAAGTTTTGAAAACCTCGAGGCAATAAGGAATTCTGGAGTAATGGTATGCCCCTGCTTTAGTGTTCATGTGACATCTTTAAATTATTATCCATTTCCTTCCGTCTTTTGAACCTTTAACCCTTTCTAACACCACTCATCAATGCAGTGTCCTTTACTGTGTAAAGAATTCATTATTGACGCATGGCAACTTTACTATGCCCGGATCAAAGGGGCAGATGCAGTTCTTTTAATTGCTAGCGTTTTACCCGATCTTGATATAAAGTATATGGTCAAGATTTGCAAATTGCTTGGGCTGGCTGTGCTTGTTGAGGTTTGGTTTGGACATACATTAACACATTTATTCTCACCATAAAGTGGTTTAAAAAATTTTTGTGTGTAATTTCTATCAAGTATTTGGGGTTGATGCAGATAAGCTTGTCATGGTGTTAAGAATAGCTAGGTATTTAATTCACTGATGTTCTATCTTTCCAGGTACATGATGAGAGGGAAATGGACCGTGTTCTTGGAATAGACGGGATTGAACTGATTGGCATCAATAACAGAGACCTAGGTATTCTCTCTAATTTGCCAACTCTGAGTGGGAAGAAAATAATGGGACGAAGGGAGTAATGTCCAAGCATAGACTTAGATGAGCATTTTGTACAATTTTTTTGGCATACAAGTCGTCTTTCCTCTTGTTTACACCGTAGAGATTCCTTGAGGACTAATGTTTGGTCCACCATTCAGCTTCTTGGACATTCAAATAAGCTACCCCAGACATGCACCCACTTTATGTAAATTTGACTAGTACTCCGTATAATAGTAATAACAGCAACCCCGTATATTCCCAACCCTGTAGAGGTGGGAGGGTGGGGTGGGGGGGGGGGGGTGAAGATGAACACAGTCTTACCCATGAAAAACAGAGAGACTGTTCCCGTTAGACCCTAGATGCATTGCTGCGTTTACTTCCCCAAACTTCACAGAAAGTAAGAAGCAAGGGAAGTTTGATTTGCCATTTTGATATCGTCTATTATGTGTCCGAAACTAGAACATTGTTGGACTCTTTTATCTCGATTGGCACCGGAGGAATAGTACTGAACAAGAAATGGAATTGAGTCGTTAGAGTTCGATGATATACGTATTTGCCTTCCCGATGTAGTTGACAACAAGTTGCACTTTGTGTATTGGCAGGAACCTTCAAAGTTGATATCAGCAACACAAAGAAACTCTTGCAAGGAGAACGTGGGGAAATCATTCGGGAAAAAGGCATAATTGTAAGAACCTTTTCATTTGGGTCCCTTGTTTTTCGATGTTTTCCCCAAAACCACTATTTTCTTTTATATATATAAATATAAACATATTATCATATGCTTGGTTTTCTAGGTTGTTGGGGAGTCTGGACTGTTCACTCCTGCTGATATTGCCTTTGTACAAGAAGCTGGTGTTAGAGCTGTAAGCTGCAAAATTCTTGTTTATCAAGTTTCTATATTACTTTCAAATCATTTGTTGACAATTGTATTCAGCCACTTTTTATGTCCAAATTCGTCGCGCGCTCTAATGGAGTTTCAAATGAATCTCCTACTTACGCAAATACGCAATTTGAATTCACCGCTTTCCTATGTTCTTGCAGGTCTTGGTGGGGGAGTCAATTGTGAAACAGAGAGACCCTACACAAGGAATCACTGAATTGTTTGGAAAAAATATTTCCATATGAGATCCCATACAAGAAGTGCAGGGCCATTCCATTTAGGGGCTTGATTGACCTTTCACTACAGCTGACCTTTCTCATTTCACTCTTCCTTATCCTCTCTTCTTCTTCTTGCCCCAGTTTTAAATTTTCTGTGAATCTGTACACACAAACAATAATCGTCTCGAAAAATACTCAATTTGGAAATATACATAATTCACAAGCGATTATCCCTATGTGTCTATAACTTTATAGACGAGTGTTATCTGTAATGTAAGCCAACACTATTTTCTAGCATTCAGAAAGAGTATTGCACGAATACCTCTTGGGATTAGGTAAATATGCATCGTTATCTCACATGATTTCAAAACTTAAATCGTTGTCTTTCATGGTTTTTATATTGTTACATTAATGTCTCTCTAACAGAAATATTCTTCAAATATTAGGTCAGTGACTCCACGCTTCCTATGGTTTTGGAAATGACAACGCAAATGCCCATTATGGTTTTTGTTGTTTTTCTTTTTTCTTTTCTTTTTTCTTAAAAAGAAGAAAAATGTTTGGTTTGAAATAATAAAAAGTTGTTTTTCAAAAAAAAGTTGTCTTGGTTTGAAATAATAAAAAGTTGTTTGAAATAATAAAAAGTTGTTTTTCAAAATTATATTTTAAAAAATAAATAAAAAAAGTGTTTGAAATAAAAAATGAAAAGAAAAATTTAAGATATACTTCATGTATCAAATTAAATATTCTCATTTTTGTTGAAAACTTTTTTTTATTTTTTTGAATATGTCAGAACCAAAAGAATATTAAATAAGGTCTTTTTAATATATAGTTAATTGTATATTAGTAATATGTTTTAGATCGATGTGCCACAGATTTATTTCATGACTTAATTTTCCATATGTAAACGTATTTTTTCACATACTTTTTTTCTTTATTTTTTTCTATTTTTTCTTTTATTTTAATTTGGCATAAAACCAATGAATAGGAAATGAGAAATGACCTTTAGCGCAAAAAGAGAATGTTTCATTGATTTTTGTATCAAGAAAAATGAACCAATAAAGACATTTTCTGGATAAAAATGAAAATACTCCCTCCGTCCCTAAATATATCTCACATTTATATTACTGAGGTAAAATATCAAGTTTTTTCAATTCATTTTATTTACATATTGGTATAGAAATAAAAAATAAAATTTACATATCAAAAAACTATATGAAAACGTAGAAATAAACAAAAATTCCTGCGACAATTGAAAAAACAAATGTGAGATATATTTTGGGACGAAGGGAGTATTTAGTTTGAGACAAATGAAGTGTACATTAATTCTTTTATTTAATTTTCTTTTTATTGCCAACACAAAAAAATTAATTATTAAAACATTATAAAAATAAAAAATCATTTATGAAAAAAATAGTTGAAAAAAGAAAAAAAAGATGGTGCATTGGTGCTCATTTCGATGCTATTTATCTAACATTTGAAAGATAATTTAATTTAGAAAGCCATTGACATACCAATATCAGAACCATAAACAAATTAAGTTTTGAAACTACGAGAAATAAGAGTATTGGTGCAATAAACTACATTTGGACAAAGGACACAATGCTACGTTCACAAACAGGATTGGTCACAAACTCCACAAACTTAGTATTTATGGTTTAAATTCTCATTTTAAAATTATTTAAGACTATTTAATTTTTTTTATCGAAGTTTACAAATAGTAAATTTGTAAAGTTTTTGATGATTGTGTTTTGAACCCAGGAATGTATTCAAGCAAGTTTGGACAAATAATGGTGTGAAACTTGTTTCTAACCTCCCTTATCCTCTCTATTCTTCTTCTGCCCTAAACCCTTCTTCTTCCTTCATTCACTTCAACTCTTCTACCTCCAAATCGACTATTTCAATGTATTCAACGCTCAATCCAGCAATGAATTCTCTGTCCTTGCCCAAAAATGGCGGCCTCATCTCCCTTCCGCAGCCTCTTCTCGCCGCCGCAAAATCCCAACACTTCTCCCTCGCTTGCCGGCCCAATAAGCACCGCCCCTCTTCCTCCTCCTCCTCCCACTCATTCCTCCTCTCCCTCCGGTGTCGGAACCCCAATCTCCATTTCCGGTCTCGGGTTCCTGTCGCAGCTTCCCAGCGGGAAGACGACGAGGGCACATTCGTTTTCCATGAGCAGGACAGAGATGGAGAAGGAGAGGGAGATTTAAGCGGCGCTGATTTCAATTGGGTAGAAAATGTGGGCGGAGACGAGGTGGAGGAGGGAGAGGAAAGAGGAGGGATTTTGGAGGGGGTTGGGGATGCCGGAGAGGGAGAGAGTGGTGATGTGTTTGCTGAAGATTCCGGCGAGTACACAGAACCACCGGAGGAAGCGAAACTATTTGTGGGGAATTTGCCTTTCGACGTCGATTCTGAGGCCTTGGCTATGATCTTCCAAAAGGCGGGGACTGTCGAGATTGCCGAGGTATTAATTTTTTATAAATTGAGCTATAATCTTAATCGATAAGTATTGATACATTGATCCCGAAACATGGAAGAGCTCGTCCTTCATTGCCATTGCGGAGGGTCGAACCCGGACATTATCACCCCTTTGCACCCCATCTTTGCAATGTAAGCTATAAACCCCCAACATGGTTTTGGAGATTATATTAGAGGATGGTTACCTTAGGTAACTAGATGTATGTGTAGAAATCTTTCATAAAAACTAGTGTTGAAGTAAATGAATATAGGTATATGTATAAAATGTTGTTTGGATGAGGTAACTAAAGTAAGTAGTATAATATTACTAGTTGTGAAGGAGGTGAGATTACCTTGGAAGTAATGAATACTTCAACATGCCGATGCACAATGTGAAACGTACCTTCACCTCTCCCTCTAGTTACCTCCTCTGAGACATAATGTTAGTTTGATAATAAAAAAACTTTCTCCGTTCCAAAATAATCTTTGTGGTTTGACTTCACGTAGAACCAAGTAAAGCTTTGAAAAATTAAAAGTGTATGATTATAATTTGTTTAGAAGAAAGAGAATTAAGTCACACATTCCCTTCATTTGAAGGAAAGCGAAAAAGAAAAGTGTGAAGTTTATTCTAGAACGGATGGAGTATATGATTTGGAGTGTTTTTTGTAGGTTATTTATAATAGGGATATTGGACGGAGCCGAGGCTTTGGGTTTGTCACTATGAGTACAACAGAAGAATCGGAGAGAGCTATTGAGAAGTTCAATGGTTATGTGAGTGGACATTCTTCTTGTTGTGGAATAGTGGATTTCTCATTTTAATATCTGTTTTAGATTACCTATTGTTTGTTTAAATAGTATGATGCGTGAAAGTAATAAGGCAGAAATCAATAAGTAGAATAAACAATATATGTTGTTTGCTTGAATATCCCTTCTTAGCTTTCGGACATAAGTAGAATAAGGAATACATTGGACATGCTATATCAATCATCTTAGTAATCTTTGTACCAGTGCAGCAAAATTGTTAATGGCATGCATATTATCTAGGTGAAAGTTTTTTTCTTGGGATTTTAAAGTTATGTGAGTAGGTCCACATATTAGATGTTGGGACCTCCTAATCACAACTCGGTAGGAAGATATTGGAAAGGAGGGTAGCGGAGAGTGCTCTCCGGTCTCCACCACGGTATACTTTTTTGAAAGGATTTAGTGTTCATATACTGAAGTGAAATAATACTGTAAGTTTGTATACCATCGGTGAAATTTTCCTGCCCTCTAAGTAATTGTTTTTCGTACAATGGAAAGTTTTGCCTTTGTTGTTTGTGAAACAATATAATAGTTGGGAGTTGTGGATAAAAGGTTGTGAAACTTTGTGGGGAAGTGTGTTGAATAATTTTGACGCTTTGTGTTTCTATTTGATTTGTCCATGATTTATGGGTCATATTACAATGGCACACATCACATTAGAGATGAGACCAAGGTTGACACTGCTAGTACAGAGAATAAGTTCTCACCTGTTTGTGCGTGATTGTCTTGGTGTTAACTTTGGTGTCATTGGTGAGGTTAAGTAGCAGTTGCTTGATTTATACATTCCTCACTTTTTCATCGCAATCTGACAAGTCCCCACCCCCCCTCCCCCCAAAAAAACCCAAAAAACTGTTTTGAGATGGGTTTGGGATTGATGCAAAAATATACTCCGTAGTTGATATAGTTTATAGCCTGATATTTGACCAAGAAAAAAACTTATTTGTCTAAATCCGTTTAGGAACACACAACACATTGAAATATTAAAAATTTAAGACTATCTTTTGAAGTGAGCAAAATGGTTGTTTGTCAGATTTTTACACTTTTATGCTCTACACTTGTCTGGTTTGATCTCTAGGAGCTTAATGGGAGAGAATTGGCGGTTAAAAAGGCTGATCCGAGAGGTATACGTCCCGAGCGTCAACTCCAACCCATTCAAACTTCTCACAAAATCTATGTTGGGAATATCCCATGGAGCTTGGACGAGTCACAGCTTGAGCGAATGTTCAGCGAACACGGCAAAGTCGTGAGCGCATTCGTGGTTCGCGAGAGAGACAGCGGCCGTTCGCGAGGCTTTGGCTTTGTGGTTATGTCAAGTGAGACCGAAATGAACGACGCGGTTGCAGGTCTTGATGGCAAGGTAAGTGTGATAGCAAGGCACCATATAATTCTGCATTATCTTCATTTCCATGTGTATTAGTCCCTCTGTCCCTTTTCAAAATTGATCGAAGTTATTTTTAGACTATTTGAATATCGTTTAAACTTTAAAAAAAAATTAAATTTCCATATTTTAAAACCACCATCTCCACCCTAATTTACATTGTCTCTTCTTCACTATTCACAAGGTTAAACTTTCTCTCTTTTTTTGCGTATTTTTGTTACCCGTTTGATGGAATAATAGTTATCTCACCTTTTCTTTCGTAGAAATTTTGAGGTAACTTTTAAGTATATAAATTTAATAATTTCACGCCAATTTTTTAAAAAAATTGTAGAGTTACACCATCCCAAATGGTACAACCTTGTGACACCATCTCAATTGGGGCACCTACAGTGCTTCGTTCGTAAAATTGACGGATCTCACTCCTCCTAACCCCCTCATAAACCCCCACCCCAAACCTCGCCCATCATGATCACCATAGCCTATGCAATTGCACCATATAAATTTAATTGACAATTTGGTCAAAATTTAAGGTTGGAGGTGGGGGTTTATGAGGTGGTTATAATAGGTTAGGAACCATCAATTTTACAAATAGAGCAACGTAGGCATCCCAATTTGAATGGTGTCTCAAAGTTAAGTGGTGTAGCTTTACAATCCCTCATTTCTAAATAAGTTAAATTAAAAATAACTTGAGTTAAACAACGTAAACCGCAACATGGATACTAATTTTTAAAACAAGATGTGGACATTAGTTTGACTCTATGTAAATAGTGAAAGTGTGTAATGTACTTCAATGTGGCTCTTGAGTTTGACTCGAAAGGGCTCGAGCTTGAAACAAGTTGGGTTTGGAAAATTACGAAAAAGGGCTCAATGTTATTATGTCTGTTTGGCGTCGTGCAGAATGTTGAAGGACGGACGATTAGAGTCAGTGTGGCCTTAGCAAGACAAAGAGGCAACTATTAAGGTTTTCTTCTTCTTCTTCTTCTGTTTGTTTGCGCACTCTCTGTTTTGATTATTGTTATTGTTGTTATTAGGTGTGTATTCGTGGTTTTTAAAGTTTCGCTAGACTTTCTCTCTCCTCTGCGCTGCTCTGCTTTCTCCCGTTGTAGCTTGTAACGGCTCTTCCTCGGAATAGTCGCCGGCGCGTCGACCCTCTGCGTTCGTCCTTCCTGCCGGCGGTGTAGACAGTCATCGGACGGCGGCGGACGACGGCTAGGAGCACAGGTAAGTACACATCCACCCCCACCCCACCCCTTCTCCAGACCTAACACTCTCAGATCCGACCCTAGACGCC